TTCTTTTTCCTTGTTTTTCTTTTTTTTGCATTTTTCAAATTCTGCTGGTAATTATCACGACGATATCCAATTTATTTTTGCTAGTTTTGTACTTAAAAAGAAAAGACAAAAATTAAAGACTGAATTTGAGTAGAAATCGAACGAGATTTTGTTTACGAATCTGCACGTGGTAGAATATTCACGATAAATCTGTTCAAGTCTACGATGTGGACAGTTTGGACGATCTGGAGGTTTCGTGGTCGCTTGTCACAATCGACGATCTGGATCGTTCGTGAATGCTTATCACAATACATAGCAAGCAGTATCGCTGTTTTTGTATAGAATATACGATTGTTTCAATAAGGAAATTCAACATTTTAATCTTTCTAATTTTTTTAACTTCTTTGGACTTTAGGATGGTAATTTCGTCGCTGATCTTATGAAGATTGTTATAATCGTTGATTGATTGTTGTTGTTATTTGTAGATTTGTGTGCATTATACGTTAATATGATCGAAAGAACGTTGTGTTCGTAAAAATTAATGATCCTGTTCAATCTTTGTTCTCGAAACATCTGTAATCAGCTCCCTCAATTTTACTTTCTTGCGCATGAATAAGAATAAACAAAATTCAAATTTACGCGTAAAGAATTGTATCTTTGCACAGTATCTCTTTGTTGAAAGTAAATGTTTATTTGTTGACCAATAATACTGATCTAATTCTTGGTAGCCAAAGACGTAGAAAATAGAAAATTGCATGTTGAAGTTATATACTTCTAAAAAAATCAAATAACAAATCCGTAAAATGGAAACATATAAAGAATCGAGTACAAAGGGTTTCAAATACAAGTTTTATACTCTAATTGCCGGAAAGAGGAAATTTACAATTGCGCGCTCGACGTTCTCGCAATCATTGAGAATTTCACTAATTTTCACTTATATGTATATAAATCTTGCTTGCCATCGAACTGAGACACATTGAAATCCTTCTCGTTTTACAATGAATTCTTCTGTCACAATTCGTATCATTTCCATTTCATTCATCCGCAATAAAAGAGCTTCACGAAAGAACTATACAAGAAAATTTGCAAAGAGATCAAGCCGGCATTCTTCCGTCCGTTCAGTATTTAATTCTTGTCTCTTTCTTTCACCACTCTAAATACGTACACGACAAGTTCTCAAAATTCATTGGCTTACATTGTTGTACATGGAGTTGCTCATGTATCATCAAAGTGAGGGAAAAACAGAGACGTGTGCTCGCCTTGGACTTTTCCGTGATTCAATTGCGCGATCCTTTCTTACGAACTTTTACGAAAGCATGGTAACGATGATAGATAAATCGAAAGAAACATGTAGATACTGACCGAATCGTACATTAGGAAGTAAGTACGCGTATCTTCATCCCCTCATTACGTACAGGTTGCTATTTTATTTACTTCTTTCCATTCATTAACATTCACGTTAGTCAAATGTTTTTTAACTGCTTCTTATCTTTTTCTGCATTATGGTGTATTTCTTGAGTAAGTTGGGAGACAAGTCTGCTTACAGACATCCCAAATGTAAATTCGGCTTGTCCTGTACAAAACTAGGATGCGCGTTCTCTCATCCCGCACAGCAGTGCAAGTATCATTCATTCTGCATGAAATCAGCGTATCCATATTCTCACCCGATGCCGGTTGCTGTGGAGGCGTCTAGTCAGAGGACGAAGTTCACGTGGCGCAGACAAGATTGAGTCGTACTACATTACAAACGATGTACAAATTTCTTCTCTACATGTAGGCCAATTCTTCCCCACCGGACAGGTGTTTGTTATAAAAAGAATCTGTCTAATACGATAACACGGTAATGAAATGTTTGTGCCATTCCGTAGATACGGAACTAATAATATTATTTTGATTCACAATAGTTTGTTCCATGTCTCATTACTATGAGTAATGAATGGGCTTAGAATATATTCTGTAAATACGAAGATACATAAAATTTTTTAATTTGTCAAAGGGATAAACAAGAAGAAAGATATAGATCACAATGCAACAAGAAACTAAAATTTCCTTCACTGTCGTTGGAATTTTATTCGAGATCTATTCTTAAAACTAGCGCTTGATCGTATTCTTAGTGTATTGATATCTGTATTAGAAATGGTACCTTAATCGCCATTGCAATATACCATTAATCAAGTGCCTACGAAGTGAAATATAAATATTCTGTGGTACAAGATTAAGAATAGAAATTTGTGCGAGTCGTAACGAATATGAAATTCTTTTATTCTCCCTAATTATCAAATATTATTGTATTAACACGTTCGTCGCCACGTCGATCATATCGGTGCGACGGGTATACTTTCGTGGGCGCCCCGTCACCAACGTATTTTAATTAAATATACGATATTATATATAGCATATGCAACGTAAAAATATTGAAAACACATTTCGAAACACATACTTTTTACTAATTTATATTCTGAATAATATATTATATTATTCTATATCGCATGATATTCGTTAAAACATTCCAAACACATTTGGGGTGATTTTGGACATTTCGACCAAGAGTTGTAGACTTCGTCTTTACTACTTCCCTCACTTTCAAATGCAGGGTGTTTGATAACTGCTGGTGCAAGCGGAAAGGAGGCCATTCTACGCGAAATAAGAAGTCGAAAATATAGAATAAAAATTTTTTTTAATTTCTTTTTTTAATTTTTCCATCGAGACAACGATCTACAGTGAGATCCGTTATAACGTTTTTTCGCGTAGAATCACTCCCCTTTCCGCTTGTACCACCAGTTATCAATCACCCTGTATATTTTCACACCGTTTACTGAACATTTTGAGGATGAAAAAATCACTGATGTACGTCTCACTAGTATGCTCCTCGATTAAATGAAAGATCTCAGATATTTGCCATGAGATACCTCGGAATACTCTAGCTGGAAAGCTCATCGCTTTTTCCATTTGAGAACTAAATAATCTTTTCTTTTGCAACGAATCGAAGGCGATAAACATTGAATTACCGCTGTCGCTCTATTTACGTTTGCGTACCGACGGTCGGATTTGGGCCCCGCAGGAAACTTAGCCGAATCACGCAGGGCGACGAACGTGTTAAATATTCACGAATGCAATTACGAAGTCTTCAAAATTATCACTGAATAGTTGCTCGCAACATGAATATAACTTGTTTAATCCAGCTCCAAATAAAATAAAGATAATAATTATAGTAGAACAATAATATTTTGCACGAGAAAATTTCAGAAAATACCCTTTCTGCCGTTCCGTCCAGTTTTCTTTCAAGGATCGCGACTAGCCTAACGAATCCCGTTAAATCGTGAGATGTGCCTTCATCCCAAATATATAGTCGCGAATTCCATCATCGCGATAACTTTTCGTTAAGAAGAGTACGTGACTGTTTGTTCGTCTATCTGAAGCTCTCAATGTTATGCCTATTTCTCAATAAATCATAAGTAATATTACTAAAATAATTTCCATTTATTCATCAATCCTTCTCTTCTATAATTATACTATATTTTCAAATAATATTAATATTACCATGTTAATATTAATATTGATATATCTTCAAATTCATCGTAATTGATTTCTCTTTGGTATGCTCAATTACTTGTACCAATTGGTAAATTTCGTAGCACGAATAACGAGCATATTCAAAGATTTATCATTGATAAAGACGCGGAGCGACTCGATATTTCATGTCTTTAATTAGCCAAACGGTAAAACAACGCTAGCAATGGAAGAAATTTGGCAGGTAAGCATTACTGTCCTATACCGTACCGTGCAAAGGAGTATTGGCCAATCAGCTGGTAGTGGGGAGGCGGACAGCTCATCCTTCTTCGAAGGGCTACGGGTCCAAAGTACCAAATCCGTAATAAAATTTCCTATTAGTCCCGCACTTGCAGTCGTAGTAATAACATCGGTACCTAGACAGAAAGATGTCGAGAAAATCGGCTGCACGTAAGAGAAAGCAAGTGAGCTCCAAACGAGTGAGATCCAAGCGAGTGCGCACCAAGCGAGTGAGCTCTATGCAGGGCAAGGAGACGAAAGATCGGATTATGGTACGTACCCCTTTTTCTCTTAAAGATTTTGATCAAAGTGAAATTCATTCGACCATCAACATTAATTCTCCGTTACTTTTCCTTTATAAGGCAGATATTTTGGAATTCATTGAGATGAATTAAAAATGTAATTGTTAAAATTGCAGGAATATGCTATCATCCCCGAATGTCAGGATCGGTCATACTCTGAAAAAGAATATACAACTTCTCGGGAGGAGAAGATGTGGGATCCGAATGTGAATGTGGAGGGTTGGTTCTATCACTATACTCTGGTAGCCCGAACTGCTTTAACATTGAAGCAGCAACATGAGGGCATTCCAGACACGGATGCAATAGAAAACTCGTGTTCTGATGTTGCGGAACAATACATATCGGATGTTCTTCACGACATCAACTATGAGCCGCACGAAGCGCTGCAAATGATATGTATTCAAGATATACCGCAGAAAGTCCTTAACAAATGGAAGCCAGAGGATATGGTAAGTATCGTACAGTTGATTTTATATCGGGAGTCGAATATTAGAATATTAATAATTTGGCGATCAAATTGAATCGATTATGACAATACAATAAAAATTTCCAATTTTTACACTAACGTACAACGTTTCATATTTCAAAGTAGATTCTTTAAAGAATTTTAATTGATATCATATATCTCGTAGCGTTGTCTTTTTTTATTTGTTACTATACCTGTGCTTATATTTAATAGTGGAAACTCTATTAGAATGAATTCGCTCTTGGAATATAAAAAAAACTCTTCTACGCCATTGTAGTTTCTTTTGACGAAGAATTAAACATTTTAATCTTTTTGTTGTTGCGTTTTGATGTTACAGCAACTCTTCACGGATGGCATCATGAAATACGGCAAGAATTTTTCAATCATTAGGAGGAAGATGGTTCCGCATAAACGAGTAGTAAGTTTATTTTCCTACTGCGATAGCTTTTCATAATGTATTTTTTGTCTACCCCTTTTCAATTCGTCTCCAAGAATTAATTTCAAAGAATAAACGAAAACATCTCCAACTTTGTGTTCGCAGGAAGATTTTACCCCCTTCTACTACGTGTGGAAACGAAGCAGTATGGCAGAAGCTTGGAGAAAGTCTCGTGCGATAATTAAAGCCAAAAAACGTAAAATGGAGGAGGAACGTCTTAGGAAACAGTCGAATAACAAACCTCCTTGTAATCTGTCGAATGGCAGAGTTATAAGCATTACTGTCCTATACCGTACCGTGCAAAGGAGTATTGGCCAATCAGCTGGTAGTGGGGAGGCGGACAGCTCATCCTTCTTCGAAGGGCTACGGGTCCAAAGTACCAAATCCGTAATAAAATTTCCTATTAGTCCCGCACTTGCAGTCGTAGTAATAACATCGGTACCTAGACAGAAAGATGTCGAGAAAATCGGCTGCACGTAAGAGAAAGCAAGTGAGCTCCAAACGAGTGAGATCCAAGCGAGTGCGCACCAAGCGAGTGAGCTCTATGCAGGGCAAGGAGACGAAAGATCGGATTATGGTACGTACCCCTTTTTCTCTTAAAGATTTTGATCAAAGTGAAATTCATTCGACCATCAACATTAATTCTCCGTTACTTTTCCTTTATAAGGCAGATATTTTGGAATTCATTGAGATGAATTAAAAATGTAATTGTTAAAATTGCAGGAATATGCTATCATCCCCGAATGTCAGGATCGGTCATACTCTGAAAAAGAATATACAACTTCTCGGGAGGAGAAGATGTGGGATCCGAATGTGAATGTGGAGGGTTGGTTCTATCACTATACTCTGGTAGCCCGAACTGCTTTAACATTGAAGCAGCAACATGAGGGCATTCCAGACACGGATGCAATAGAAAACTCGTGTTCTGATGTTGCGGAACAATACATATCGGATGTTCTTCACGACATCAACTATGAGCCGCACGAAGCGCTGCAAATGATATGTATTCAAGATATACCGCAGAAAGTCCTTAACAAATGGAAGCCAGAGGATATGGTAAGTATCGTACAGTTGATTTTATATCGGGAGTCGAATATTAGAATATTAATAATTTGGCGATCAAATTGAATCGATTATGACAATACAATAAAAATTTCCAATTTTTACACTAACGTACAACGTTTCATATTTCAAAGTAGATTCTTTAAAGAATTTTAATTGATATCATATATCTCGTAGCGTTGTCTTTTTTTATTTGTTACTATACCTGTGCTTATATTTAATAGTGGAAACTCTATTAGAATGAATTCGCTCTTGGAATATAAAAAAAACTCTTCTACGCCATTGTAGTTTCTTTTGACGAAGAATTAAACATTTTAATCTTTTTGTTGTTGCGTTTTGATGTTACAGCAACTCTTCACGGATGGCATCATGAAATACGGCAAGAATTTTTCAATCATTAGGAGGAAGATGGTTCCGCATAAACGAGTAGTAAGTTTATTTTCCTACTGCGATAGCTTTTCATAATGTATTTTTTGTCTACCCCTTTTCAATTCGTCTCCAAGAATTAATTTCAAAGAATAAACGAAAACATCTCCAACTTTGTGTTCGCAGGAAGATTTTACCCCCTTCTACTACGTGTGGAAACGAAGCAGTATGGCAGAAGCTTGGAGAAAGTCTCGTGCGATAATTAAAGCCAAAAAACGTAAAATGGAGGAGGAACGTCTTAGGAAACAGTCGAATAACAAACCTCCTTGTAATCTGTCGAATGGCAGAGTTATGACGCGCAGCGCGACTGCCGCTGCGAAACTCGCTCTCCAAAATAGCGAGGGGACAGATAACGACAGTAAGTCGTCTACATCGACAAGTCCATCGGAGAAGGACGAAAAAACTTCTAGTACAGCAGAGTCCACGGATTCTCCGGGGGAACATGTCCAAAAAACGGAAAATGGATTACCCGAATCTGCTATCTTGGAAAAGTCTCCGATGAAGAACAAGCAAATTTCTGATAGCTGTGGAAAACAAAGAGCTAAAAGGAAATTGTCAATCCCACGCAAAATCGTTAACTTCGATGAAAAATCTGCGGATGAAGCCGAGGAAATTAAGTGCGTCCCAGCACCCATTATACCGCAGTGGAAAAGACAAAGAAGAATGAAGAACACGTTGTTTAATAATATTCGAGCGTATATCAGTGTGATTTGCAATTGCCAATGTAAATAGTTAGTTTCAATTAGATCTGATGAACTTTTGTACCATTTTATAAGACACAACGAAAGAGCAAAATAATTGAAACATATTATCATTATAAGTTGTTACGGATTTTGCGAAATACTCGGATATTTTGGGAATTGAAGAAGTTGGTGTCAGTACAAGACAGTTCCCTAGTAGTTAATTTATATAGGTGTGCATTATTGCCACAATTAAGCAATTTTGTATAATTTAGTACTTATAACTTAGTATGTATATCTTTTCATTTAGATATTTTTCTCGACGTGCAATACACTTCACCCAGTAAGCAACATCGGAGTGTGATATTGTTAGAATTTTTATTCATGTTTGTAGTATATGATGGTCAAGAAATTGTCGATGAAAGGGCGAAAGTAATCTACTGCATTTTTAAATATTCCACTTTTATTGCATACGATCTGTGTCATTAAATGAAATCCTTTGTAATTAGATGCTAGCACACTGTAAGCATGTAACAGCGAGATTTTCTTGAGACGAGGCGCCGCGTGTTTGGAATATGGTGTATGGATGTATGTGTTTCTGTATGAGAGAGTATGACACAATCATTCCTTTTTTCGCGTTCGAAACTCGCCCCCTTGCGGATTTGCACAATTGTAACCATCCTACTACTAATAAAACGCTTCATAAACAGCATATTCGTATTTCTTTTTATACCACCCTTATCCTTACACATATAACATAAGAATTCTTTTACAGAGAATTTTCCAATTGCGGGATAGGTTACATATCTTAATCAGTTAAAAAAAAAAAAATAAAAAAAAAGAACGAGATATTAAACACGAATATATGATAAATTAAAACTTAAAAAAAAAACGGTCCAGTAGCATGCCGTTTACTAGAAAGGGCTTGAGACAACGATGTTAGCCGTTATTTAAGACAATGTGCAGGCTGCCAACGAAAGCTCACTGCGAGGATGACGCATCGCCGTTTTTTGTTCCACGGAAGTGGAGGAACACCTCTATTCTCTTAGTTACGATTAGTCTGTTACTCTAACGCGTTATTCTTTTTCCTTGTTTTTCTTTTTTTTGCATTTTTCAAATTCTGCTGCTAATTATCACGACGATACCCAATTTATTTTTGCTAGTTTTGTACTTAAAGAAAAGAAAAGACAAAAATTAAAGACTGAATTTGAGTAGAAATCGAACGAGATTTTGTTTACGAATCTGCACGTTGTAGAATATTCACGATAAATCTGTTCAAGTCTACGATGTGGACAGTTTGGACGATCTGGAGGTTTCGTGGTCGCTTGTCACAATATGTAGCAGGCAGTATCGCTGTTTTTGTATTGCCTTTTTTACGAATTTGTAACTATTGCGTTACGATTAATTGTATGAGGGATACTCGCTGTTCCATTTTCTCTGCCCAATTAAATTCCTTTTATTCGTTAAAGTTCCCGCAATTGGAATTTCACACAGAATTTTTATAGCGAATCACAATCCATTTTCTCTTGTAATTCTTTTACGCGATTTTCAGGAAACCATTGCACTCGTTAATAACAGAACAATGATCAGTAAAAATGGAACATACAACGTTTAAATTTAATCTGTGATTGATTTTCTGCTGCAAACTTTCCTCCGTTGGATCATTGTAATATTTTTATGCAACAGACGTGAAATTACATCTGCTACTCGGAAAGTTCTTCTTTCTCTTCTTTTGTTGTTTTCCAATACATCGTACGGATGGAACGTCATTTAAGAGATTCATGATCAAATTGAAAATTCACGTTGAATGTTATAAACGGCTCGGCCAAGTGCATTCGCATCTACACTTTCATTTTTACGGTCGCATGTATAAATTCTTAGTGTAAATTGGTAGATTATTAAGTATGATTAGCTGGTTACAGTGGGCTAGTCTAAAACAGAAAAGGGAAAGAAATATCACGTAATCTTAAAACGATCCTGCATCGAGATTCGACGAGTACGATCGTCGCGGAAATCTAGGCTGCTCGTTACTCTTTACAATGGCGAACAACGTAAATACGGTACTAGGAATAATAATAAAAAAAAACGTAAATGTATTTTATTCGAACGTTACTTGATTTAACTCCCTTGATACGAAATGGATCTGTCGAGAAACATAATCTTCTTTTTAGTCAAACTTTACTCCTACACAATTTTAAAATCTTTTAATTTTCGTTCTTTTACAGTAACTCTAACGTAAACGTAACGTGTAAGTAATTATGAATTATATATTTCTATTTCACCTGAGAGTAGTTCAAAGTCCTATAATTTGTAATTTTTTTTATATTTATTTAATTCCGGAGACATGGATAATTTAGGTTTGAAATTCTAAATGATTTAATTCATAGTTTCACAAATTATCGTAATTAAAATTTTATTATCAGGGGAGTTAAAGACGAATCATGCTCGATGCTATAAGATACTATTTAGCAATCACGTCGATGCGACAAAGCTGTTAAAACACAAGGGTTGCTCCTATTTATCGAACGTAAGGAACTCCCATAGTTTCAGGAAAGTTGTTTCAGTGGTCCATAATTCTTCCACGGTAAAAAAACCCTGTTCCCTGTCTTCGTATCCTTAAATCTTCTCTTTTTAACAAACTGAACACTACAACGAATGTTTAGTCTTGTACGCGTTCGAATTTTGGAAATAATTCTTAAGAAAATTTCAATACAACTTTTAAGGGGATCATCGAACGAATATCTGCCGAAAAGATTCTCTTTCAGCAGAGATGTAACATTTATAACTGAAATCTATTCGATTTTTAATGAAAATTAACCTACTTTGAGATTCTCTTCTTTCTTATTTCTACAGGATTTTCATATAATTACTGTGATCCTATTTCTCTGCTTTAAATGCAAAAAATATTTTTATTATAACTTACAGCTGAAAATTTACTATCTTTACGTCAAGTTAAATTCGAAATTCACACTGTTGAGATTGTGGTGTTCAACTTGTTAAACGTTCTTTCCTTTATCCAACAAGAATTCTACGCGATTCTATATACAGTGACTTTCGTTAATATTCGAAAACTATAGCGTTCTATCCATGTTTATTCTGTACATTTGATCATAATTAAATTAACGTATCTTTTATTTTCTCTGATAATAAAGCATGTATTCTTCCTAAATAATTTGTGGCGTAACAAATAATATATTCGGAAATGTGGTGTTCGTACGTCGGAAAAATCTTCAGACGCTTAATATTTATCCATATTTGTTGATTATACTTCTACAGCTTTGTTATACTTCACAAGCATATATTGAGCGAGATGTACAGCGTACTTCGAAATATCGGTTATTACTTAAAAATCATTGTCATCGGTCAGAAATTTTGAATATAAAACGGAAAAGCGAAGATACTTTTTCTGACGCGCGACGATTAGTCATTCTCAACCGTGAAAACAGGAAAGAGAGAGATAGGCAGTCTTTTAAATTTACAGATATTATGAAAAGATACGATAGCGAGGATAGAATAGATTGACTTCGTCAAAAGAGATGGCCAAAAATACTTGATGAACGGGATTAACGAGATAAAAATTTAGACATTTTCAAACGAAATCTAAAATAAAATGTAACTACAATGGACATTGAAAACACATTGAAATTTGATCGTGGTATAGTTCAAGGATACCAGTTATATAGTTGCCTTCGCGCGTTACATCCACCACCGTAATCATCGGATTTGATTCTAATCGAAAATGAGTATCATGCAAAATTATTCACAAAAAATTATGACAAACATGCCAAATCGATTACGACATGTAATAAAACAAAACGGGTATCCAGGAAATTGATATTTAAAAAATGTATATGATATATACATATGTATTTTTTATATAAAATCATTGTAGAAAATTAAATGTTCGAATATTTTTGCGACGTATAAATAATACATTTCTTAATATATTATTTGTAATGTCACAAATTATTTAGTTTAAATAAATAAAATTTGCGTTATCGTCAAGAAGAATATATGCTTTATTATCATAAAAAACAAAATATACGTTAGTTTAATTATGGTCAAATGTACAGAGTAGTAATGGATAGAATATTATAGTGTCCCCAATATTGATAGGAGTCACTGTACAAGCACAAGGTTCCTCTTTCTTTCTTTGCCTCGCGAAGCCACGTATTTTCTCAGACGAGCAGGAAAGAAGGAAAGAACCGTGTAATTTCCATTTCTAAACTTACCACTTGTCCCGAACGCAACGTATAATTTTTTATATTAATTTCACTTTGCAATAATTATAATAATTATAATAATATATATATATAATAATATAATTACAAATAATTATTCATAATATTTATTTGAATATTTTCACTAGATTTGTATAGAATATGTCCTTTCGCCCTCTTGTTTTAGGCTCGACGATGCCAGCGTGTGATAGCGGCCAACATCACTCGTTTACTTTTTTTACCTTTTTATTACATTTTTATTTTTTCTCTTTTTTTGTTTAATTTTATCACAGGAGCCTATTCTCGACCGCTCGTTCTACGCTTTGACTCGTTTCGTCGAGTTTCAATTGCTAGGACGATTTCATTCGAATGGCGGATGATAAAATATTATTTTAAATAAATAAAAAAAAAAAAAAAAAGAAAAAAATTGTCGAAGAAAAGTCTAAAATCGTAGATAAAAGAATATCGTCAAATAAATTTCTTTTACCGATCTGTACGATTAAAAAATCGGCCCTCGAGTTCGTCGAGCATTTTGCGTTATTTAACGATAATCAGTAAAAGATAATGAAAGTATATGAATCGTTTATCATACGTCAGCCATCGTCCTACATTCATAATTTTTCATTCGCCACAAACTTTCTTCTCTATTCACAACTCTTTAAACAACACTGATCAACAAGAGACGGTTCTCGAGTTAAAAAATAATCGATATCATCTCCTCGTGAAAACCGAAATAGTTTAATCGTCCTTCTTATTATTTTTTCTCCTTCATTTTATTTTGTTAAACACAAACATCAATGTTTCGTGTTTGTCGCCGAAATCTAAGATTCTGAGCGATCCTTTCGAACTTGACGCGATCGAAAATGTCTCGCCCTTCGAGCCATAAATATTTCAAACGTTTTCAGGAAAGGGCAGCTGGAAAAGGAAATACGACGCTCGATAGTCAGTCCTTGCGCTTCTCGTATACTTGCTTCCATGTGTCTTTCCTGTACGTTCAAGGCCATTTAGGTCCTCGATGTAGTTCCTGTTCTTCCTACGCCACTACATTTCAAAAGTTTACGATTGGTTCCGAGAATAGAATAATTAAGGTCCGGTTTTATTTGGCATAGTTCAATTTAGGATTGTATGACCATCTTGGAAATCTTGCAATTTGTTAATTGCAACATAATATGAATAGGTAAAAATCCGCGATATTTGAATTACAAATTTATATTCAATCGTACTTTCGATCATACTATACCAAACGAACCGAGAAACATACATCGAACCTAAATCGATCAATTCGAAAAATTTTACAATGGCGCAAGAGAAAATAGGAACTGGAAAATAAATTCCTAACTCTAATCCTTTTACAGTTGACCATGCCACTCTTCCTAAAGGCACGCTCGTCAGTCGTACAAAGGCCCGTAGGTCAGTTGCAAATATAATCCTCCATCAACGCTACCAGTCTTCCTCTCGAATTCCGGCGTCAGCAAAACATTAAGTTGTTCATCTCATTAATGGTCATTCGGGAATAATACCCCAATAAAGCAGGGTAAAACCGAGTACCCGTCATTGTAGAAAGCAAAAGAATGCTTTTCCTAATGGATGGAAAAGTACGCGTCGTTGGAAAGCGAGTTATCACTGTCCTTTCTCCTTTTTTTCTCGATTGGCTGGCGTGTTATAGCACTGTTCCAGTCGAGGTGGAGTCACGTAACGTTAAACGGAATATTTATTTACATCGTCCTGCATCGTTCTCCTCGGAAACCACATGATCACAGCCACTCGGTGAGGCAGCCACCGAACCACATCACCACTATGGGCACGAGATACGTTGTCAAAGCACGAGACAAAGATATTTTCTGTCTGCTCGCGCCATTGTCCACGCTGGACGTGCCATTGTTGTTGTTGATATTTGTCTTCTGCTCTATGTCTTTCCTGGGAGGCACGACTTCCGGATGATCGACGGGAGGAGATTGTTTCGGTGTTTCTGGCGGTGAAGATTTCGGTTCGTAGCCAGAGCCTTCCTTGAAACCATCCTCGTCGTCCGTGATCGGATCTTGATCCGGACCGTCCCCGGATCCACTTCCAGAACCGTTCCACTCGGTGTCTTCTAAAAATTAGATTGTCACCCGGTGACGGTGAGCTGATTAGTAAATTCTGAATATGGTATGGTGGCGATGGAGAGGAGAGGATTTCTTTTAGGAAAAGGTCTTCGAGTCTTTTTGCATGATGGTCGTGATCGATCGATTGGTGGATTTAAAAGTTGCGGAGGAGTTAGTCGAAGAGTTTAGTAGAAGGCGAAGTTTTTCTAGCACGTCCTACGCAGGTTTTCTTGAGATTTCGATTGCGTTATTCGATAGGTATTTTTAGGTTCCTTTAGGTCTTCATTGAAAATTTGTTAATTCGTGAAATTGGAAGATTTGAAGGAGTAAATAAAAAAGATTAGTAGGAGATTTGGAATTCTTCTCGGAGGTGTCGTGCAGGTTTTCTTGAGATTTCAATTATGTTGTTTAACCCTTTGCGAACTATCGCCGCATATATGCGTTCTGCGTAAGCCATCGATTTCGCAGAGAAACTCATACGCGTTCGTCCAAAAAAAAAAAAAAACTGATAGGATCAAAAGACTCATATGTATGTTATTTTATTTATCCTGTGGAGAATCTGTGCATGTACGCGTGGCTAGAATTTGACATCTATGAATGAAAAGCGTGTCTATGTAAATAAAAGTGACCTGGCAATTTTAAACGATTATCGCGGCAGCAGCTCGGACCCACGGTGCGGTCGATCGACTTTGAACCGTCCCGTCCGCCAAGGGTTAACAGGTATTTTTAGGTTTTTATACACAATGATGGAAAATCGATTCGAATCGATGAATTAGAAAGATGTGACAAAATAAATCGAAGAATTTAATAAAGAACTTGAATTTTTTATGAGCATGTTATACAGGTGTTTTTGAGGTTTCGTGTATATCATTTAGTAGGTATTTTTAGGCCGCTCTGATTCTTAATTTCGAGGATCCATTCGTGTTATCAGATTTGAAAATAAATGCGATAAAATCGAAAAGATCGCTTCTTTAAAGAATGAAGATAAACTAATTCTACGCACGTGTCACTTTCAAAAGATCTCAGCTAAGTTACAAAAAAAAGAAAATATATTTTGCTTTTTGACAGTGCACCAGGTGCACATATTCTTTATATATTACATATATTTTTTATATACTTTTTGTAATTCTATTACTCGTGAACTTGTAGTCGCTTTAATTGGCAAATTTGGAAATTGATTGACACGACGGTCAAAAAGAAAATTCCAAGAAAATTATTTTTTTAATCGCCGTTTACCGTGAACAGTGTCTCGAGATAAGATAAGTACACATTACAGTAGCCTGATAATTTGTTTCTTTTATTATGTTTTCGAGAAGATCTAGAACATAATTATTAGATAATAGATATTAGAATAGAAATTAAAATAGAACGTAATCTTCAATAAGATAAAACGCAATAAAAGTAGCATATCTTTTCTATTCATATCTGTCTATTTAAGAATTCGTTTATTTCTTCATTTCTTATAACGATCCTGGCAAATTATGACTGTATAAAAAAATGATAATTAGAACTGTCTTATAGAACCTACAATTAACAAGATAGATGCGCGGAATTTTACGATAAATTGTTTGTGTTTCAATGAGATATTCTAATTTAATCAACTCATTATTCGAAATCAACTAGCTTACCGCATTAACTGATATTGATTCTACGATTAAATCTACCGCTTACACGTTCCAGTATGTTTTTGCCAGTATATTCATTCGAAAATTTCTCTAATTACTTAAAAATATTATTCCACGAAATTTAGTATCAGATCGATTTGGATGAAATTTTTTGTTTTTGGATATTCTAACATAGTATCAATTTTATAAGGATAGTTGTGTTCGATGATATGGTAGATTAAACATTAGCGAAACAGATGGTTTACCTGTGTCTATCCAATCGACGTCCTGTCCATTGTACGCGGATTTTAGTCTGTTTGTGATAGTGGTCAATGCGAAGACCTGGTCCCTGACTATCGTCGGTCTTGTTCCAGTAACTCGTACCTCTGGATTCAATTTTTGTTCCTCTCCGTTCGACGACACTGGGTAAATGTATCTGAAACACGAGCAAGTGAAAAATAAACGATAAAATAAAAGATTTCAAATGGAACATCGATATTATATGGAATATTGATCAGTTTGAAAAGAAAAGTTCACGATTTTTTAAGAAACTAAAATTGAATTCCAGAGACAAGAAGATATAAACGCAAGAGTATCTATTGCTCTACTTCTGAGACACCTTGTATAATTATATTAAATTTAAATTTTATGTAATTTAATTTGATAATACAATTTCATTTACTATTATATTACAATTTAAATAAAATTAAGAAGAGGACTACACGGCTGGTAATTTCTATGAGAAAGAACAATAAAAAAGAATAAAAAAAAAATTATGTTTGTAAGACACTCACTTATCTACGTGTGTGCCGTTCCAACATTCCTTCGTATTGCTAGGAGGAACGACGAGTCCATCGTTGCAAACCTTATAGGGCAGATAAACCCAGAATTGTCTGGAATCTCTCACCCTCTGTCGTGTCTCTTTCACCAATTTGTCCAAAATAGCAGCACGATCGTCTGTTAGTGTTTCCTGATCAAAATTCAATGATTCGAGTTCCAACTCCCGATTGTCTCGACGTCTGCGTCTACCCAACACAGGTCGTCCGCATCCAGTGAACACCCTTTGTGAAACATCGTTGCTGTTCTCTTGGAAATTCATGATAGCCTCCGAAATTTTCAGGTTGATTGGTCGTACTAACATTTCGATGTTAAATGGACCCAACAGACGGTCAGCCACCTTGTCCACGGCCTCTGAAATTGGAGAAATGCAAGTTACAGAAAGAGAGCCGACTATAAAAATTATTGCAAAATGAATCGTATGATCAGAAGTCTGTGATGTACTCATTTTTCGAGGAATTTTTGCAGCAGCTACTCTGAATAGAAAATACAAAATTTCCTACAATTTGTGATCTTGCCCGAGTAAACAAATAAATAGAATCTTTTCATTCATTTCCTATCAACAATATTCCTTCAACGATTAACGATATTCCAAGAATTCCTGAAATCTTAAAATAAGGAATTTGGCGATTCTCTTTCTCGAACGTTATTTCTCGAGTCTTCTCTATTCCTCGGGCGATTGCTAATAAGCATAATATTTTGTGTACATGATACAAGGTAAGTCGATGAATTATATTCTCCAGCCTATATTTACCAAGAGAACAATGCGCGTGGAAATTACTCACCGACGAAGTGATTCCATTCAGCGTCCAGAGCCGCATGCTGAGCAAGGCAGCCCTTCATCACGTTGGCACACATGTCACCACAGGCTAACACGTTGCCCGCGATCCCGCTGCACGACGGACACACCGTCATTCTTGTGAGTGCAGCTGCACAATCGGCTGATGGTTTCAACTGTGAAAAGTCAGACGATTTTCTAGCTGTTCTTACGTTTGTCTTAGTTTATCGATTTTCTCGGGTTTTTTGCGCGTTTGTTTCTTGTGAAAAAATTTCACCGATGTTCGAAGATAGGGTTTAGGGTAGCGTAAGTATATTTTTATAATTAAAGAAATGTAAATTTCATAATCGAAGAAGGAATTTTTATAATTAAAGAAAAAATTTTTTTATTGTATTATACGCATTCTCATTATATCGCGTTATGGTTATTTCTTCCTTCGAGAATTTACATTTCTTACAAATGCATAAAACGAACGAAGAAGATGGATATTTCTCTTACCGACTGCATGTTCTTCAAGACATCCGCAGCCACCGTTAAGGCCTGACTAAAGGCTCTTGTCGCGACGAAAGACCTTTTGATTTGCACTCCTAATTTCTGAGGAACATCGCCGAACGGTCTGATTTCCTTCATATGTTCTCCCACACACTCCAAGTATTTATTGTCAAAGTTGTACTGACTGTTCAGCACCGTGAACATTTTCTGATAAAGAGTATTGAAAAAATTGTCCATGGTATCGTCGAGATCGACCTAGAAGAATAGAAATTATATCCGATATTAACGATCGATCTATGTTTTGTCTACAATCTCTAACTATTAACAAAACTAAACTGTAATCGATACATTAATCGAGCATTCCGTAACTTTCTCTTAAATCGTTCTTTTCCATTAAAAATGATACATTTTTACATATTCGAACGAAAGCGTTCAATTAAAAACAAATATATTATAAATAATAATTTTGACCAAATAATACACACAATGATCTTTTTGGAAACTAATAATCTAGCCTGGGAATAAACAAGCGTTTTTCCTTCTAAAAATACCTGATTTCAGAGGCCAGCTAATCGAACGAGCCCATGAAACAAAGAGCAACCCCCACGAGAGGCTATTCGGCTCGTCGATCAGCTATTCACGGGATGCTCCTTTTTAATTTCTATCCATCCCCGATATATTCCAGCACTGTCTCGATCGAAGGAATAATCCTGCGGCTCGACGGAACGT